GGTAGTTAAAGAACTAAAGGAATGAAAGATTAAGTAAAGGAAGCAACATGAGAACATTAGAAGATATGTTCTTATCAATGTGTGCAATGAAAATTCGAGGATGAATTTTCTTAAAGCAGGGGAGATTTGTAACATCCCAATAATCGGGTCAGTGACTAAAATGTAAATTTTGGAAATTTGGTGCTCAATTTCGAAATAAGTAAAAAGTTTAGGGATTTAATCGTAATTTATTTAGGTAGGACTGATTAGAAAAGAAGGAAATATGGAAGGTTATTATGGTATTTTCAAAGGAAAAATTTTATCTTCCCTCTTTAAGTGATATAAACACGTGGAGTTGGGTGAGAAAATGGAAAAGTCTGGAACTTCTTCTTCTTCTACTTCTTCCTCTTCCCGTAAGCTTCATTTTAAGGTAAGTTGATTTCAAGTTGTTTGTTCTTTGAACTTTTAAGTTGGTTTTAACTCTTTGGGTATTAAGAAAGCTTAAAGAAGCTTTAGGAGAAGTAAAAACTCAAAAGTGGATAAGTTATGAGAGATTAATTAAAATGCGTTTTTGATTAAATTATTGAAAAAGAATGAGTTAATGGAATTAGAAGCTGAATTTGACTTTTCATAGGTGTGAATAAGAAATTCAAAGTGTTAGAAACGAATTTAGAACATGTTGATAAATTGGTAAGACTTTTGGCTTCCAAATTTAAGATAGAATATTGGATATTAAGATGAGTTAAAGTGTTATAAGTGGGATAGAATAATTGTAGTTAAGTTTAAAGGGCTAAAAGGAGGTTATATAAGAAGAATTAAGTAAAGTATTGGAAATTTTTGGGCTAAGAAGCATTTTCTAGGTAAGGGGTATCGGTACCTGTTGAGTGGGTATCGATACTACAAGGCAAATTATGAGGAATTGATTCATGGGGTATCGATACCAGTATGAACAATGTTGATACCATATGGAAGAGGTAATGATACCTATGTGGAGGGTATCGATACCAGGGAACATCGAAACTAATTTTGGTATCGGTACCGGGGTAAGGTATCGGTACCCTAGCATAGGGGTATCGGTACTGTGAGGGTAGTATCGATACTACTTAAGTTGGAAAGTTGAATTGGAGTTTTATTTAGTTTGTATTGATATGAATCGTAGCAAGTAATTTGAATCTAGACATTCATTAAATTTCGTATTCGTGTAGATATTGATCGAGAGCAAGGTCCGAACAAGTTGACAAGTAATAGTCATCGAGGAAAAGATAAGAGATCGGTATTGACTAGTGAGGTCATGTGAGTCTATTTACATATTAAAGTGTATGAATTCATGAATACAAGCATGTGTTTGTTATGATTCGTATATGTGCATAAGTATGACATAGGTTACGTGATTTATGTAAATATAAGAGAGTGAAACATAAATTATAAGATATGATATAATTTATTATATACATATATGATATATGTTATTAAACCAGATAATTGTGATTAGAAAAGAAGAATATAAACTATGTGAATACAAGTATATATAATATAATATATAACTATGAGATAGAAGAATGTTATATGATATATATATATGATTGCATAAGTAGAATAATGATTAAGATTGATATTGTGTGAATATGACTTGTATGCATTATATGTCATATGAACATAAGAGGACAAAATCTATATTATATGATATGAGATAAGTGAATGTATGTATATATGATAGATGTTATGAAATAAGATATATATGGTTACATGAGATATAAGAGAAGAGGTATATGTGATTATGTGAAAAAGAATACAAGCATATGTTAAGTCATGATATATGTGACATGTGAATTATATGGAAATGATCTATGTGTAAGTGAACTACGTGACTATGAGCTCTTAGGAATATGTGATATGAATGTGTATATGTGAAATGACATAAGTGACAATGCTCATGTTATGTGTAATGAGAGCTAGAGGTATAGTTGGCATGCCAAGAGTCGAGGGTTCTATGTGGTCCTTCGGGACATAATGGTCATTCGGGACATTTCTACGCGGTCTTTCGGGATAAATTCATATGCCCCTAGTGGGACCATATACAAGTTGTGGTTACATCATATGTGCACAACCTCTATGTACTCACATATCTATAGTTCTCACATGTGTACATGGGCTAATAAAGATATAATAACAAATATATGCTTGTGATATGAAAAATGTTATAGAAATGATATGATGTTGTGTGTATAGTGCTTGATTAAGAAGGTTAAGTATAAAAGTATGTGAATAAAAGATAACACTATTAATAATGATTTATGTGTATGTATGTATTTCTTGCTATGTTATATGATATGATTTTATATGATATGATGAAATGAAGTGATTTTGTATAACATGATAGAATAAAACATGCATGCATTGTTAAAAGTTATAAAGTGCATTATAAGTTTTATATGCCTCACTAAGTCATCGACTTAGCGTGTGAATGTTTCACACGTAGGTTTGGAAAGCGAGAAAAGAAGCTAAGAGGAGCAAGACAGGTCAACATCTTCCTTACGAAGTTCATATCAGAAAAGTAATTATTAATATGTATTTTGTTCTTTTGAATATAGTTGGCATGTACTATTAGACTTGAGTTGAATATGCTCTGATATGTTTTGTAAAACTAATTGATCTTAATTAAAGTAAAGTATTCATTTTCTTAAATGATGAATTTGAGATTTTGTTGAATTGTAAAGAAAAGCGTTTTGAAAAGTCAATGTGATACCTTGGACTCGGATCTGGGGCGGATACGGGTTAGGGATGTTATATTTAATGGTATAAGAGCTAAGGTTTAGCCGATTCTAGGCTTAAACCAAAGGTAAAAGAGTTTTAAAATGTGTACATATCAACTCAAAGTGAAATTTTTGATCTGAAAGTGTAAGGAGTGTGTTGTCTTACTAATAGAATTAGATTATTACGTTATAATAGAAGTATGATAATGAGAGTTTCGAAAGAAGTGAGAGTTGATAGACTTGATGGTGATAGCAATTCACCTTCGTTGGCCAGGCAGGATGAAGAGCGGACACCTTAGGAAGTGCCTCGTAAGATCAAAGGTGGATTACAGAAAGTTGAAATCAAGTTAGAATAGCATTAGAGGGTTTCTACTATTTTGAATCTGAAAAGTAATAGGAAGTAGTTTCGTTATTTCATGGATAAGATAGAATATGGTGAACAAGTGTCACCATAAGAATGTTAAAAGATCAAATGATGTGGTTAGAATTTGTAGAAGAGTTCAAGAATAAGTGCATCAGCGACAAGTTTATAAGATAAATGAAACCAGAGTTATGAATTTGAAAGTATTGTGTATAAGTAAGAGTGTGGATATGATAAGGGTTTGCGCCCTAGATAATGTGAAAGTACTATGGTTAGCATTGACTAACAAGATAATGTGATAAAAAATGTATTAGAGTTATAAGATTTTAAGATATTGTTAGGTTAAGATAACCAAATATGAAATGTATAGGGATACAATTGTATATTTTGATCATATTAACGTGATATAGTGAAAGAGGTGAGGATTCGTATGTTTGAGTGAAGCTAAGGATTGAAAAGAAGAGTTTAAGAATAGGTACATAGGTGATCAGTTTATAAGACAAAGGAAGTTAGAATGTTAAGTTTGAACAACATAAATTGCATGGTGTATGAGAATGAATGTGGATTTGATAAGTTAAGTAAACTATCATTGAAATAATCCCGATTGGAAAGGATGTATATGATTAGTTGATTAGGGCTTGCGCCCTAGATTGAACAGTTGCTATTGACTAGCTGTAATAGTAAAGGTGATAGAGTTGTAAGATTTGGAAAAGATATAAGGCTAAGTTAATCAAGTATAATGTGGATAAGGATATGGTGATGTATTCTGATTATGTAAAGGTGGTATAGCTAAGAAGATAAGGATTTTTGTATCCAAATGAAGCTAAAGATAGTAGTAGAATATGTATATTGTAAATAGAATAAGGATTTTGTATAAGAACAAGATTTTGGGCAATTCATATGGATTATAAGAGTTACGAAGATGTAATAAAGATAGGTAATCAGAGATAAGTATAAGTGATATTAAAAGAGTATGAGAACACGAGGGAAAGATATGGTTTAGTTATGTTATAAGGAGATCTTGATTATGAAAGAATAAATGGAGAAAGAAATTAAAATGATAGAGTTTAAAGGATCAAGTAAGATAAGAGTTTGTTAGAGAAGTGAGAAAATAAGTAAGGTTACCTTAAAGCTATGAAAACCTTTGAATAAGATCTCAAGAAGTTGAATTTGCTATAACGTTTATTTCCAAGCATAGACAGATAGTTAGTTAAGTGTGATCTGTATTGGTTCAAGGATGTGTTCATTAGTCATATAAGTGTAATTAAAGAGATAAGAATTTATTTATAGGTATGAAGGAAGTTTGAATACAATTGAAGGATTATATTTCTCTTTGATTAAATTGTTAAAGATAAGAGTGTTATCTTTTAGATGATAAAAGAATATGAGTATTGTAAATTGGATGAAGATGAAATAAGAATAAAAGGTTTCGTTATTGTGGTAAGGTAATTAGAGATTAATAATGAAGCAATTTGACTCATGATTTTGGAATGGAAAGGATTGAGATTACTGGTTACTGTTTATATGATAAGTGACAGTAGATGAATGTATAAAGGAAAAAGGTAGTTAAAGAACTAAAGGAATGAAAGATTAAGTAAAGGAAGCAACATGAGAACATTAGAAGATATGTTCTTATCAATGTGTGCAATGAAAATTCGAGGATGAATTTTCTTAAAGCAGGGGAGATTTGTAACATCCCAATAATCGGGTCAGTGACTAAAATGTAAATTTTGGAAATTTGGTGCTCAATTTCGAAATAAGTAAAAAGTTTAGGGATTTAATCGTAATTTATTTAGGTAGGACTGATTAGAAAAGAAGGAAATATGGAAGGTTATTATGGTATTTTCAAAGGAAAGATTTTATCTTCCCTCTTTAAGTGATATAAACACGTGGAGTTGGGTGAGAAAATGGAAAAGTCTGGAACTTCTTCTTCTTCTACTTCTTCCTCTTCCCGTAAGCTTCATTTTAAGGTAAGTTGATTTCAAGTTGTTTGTTCTTTGAACTTTTAAGTTGGTTTTAACTCTTTGGGTATTAAGAAAGCTTAAAGAAGCTTTAGGAGAAGTAAAAACTCAAAAGTGGATAAGTTATGAGAGATTAATTAAAATGCGTTTTGATTAAATTATTGAAAAAGAATGAGTTAATGGAATTAGAAGCTGAATTTGACTTTTCATAGGTGTGAATAAGAAATTCAAAGTGTTAGAAACGAATTTAGAACATGTTGATAAATTGGTAAGACTTTTGGCTTCCAAATTTAAGATAGAATATTGGATATTAAGATGAGTTAAAGTGTTATAAGTGGGGATAGAATAATTGTAGTTAAGTTTAAAGGGCTAAAAGGAGGTTATATAAGAGAATTAAGTAAAGTATTGGAAATTTTTGGGCTAAGAAGCATTTTCTAGGTAAGGGGTATCGGTACCTGTTGAGTGGGTATCGATACTACAAGGCAAATTATGAGGAATTGATTCATGGGGTATCGATACCAGTATGAACAATGTTGATACCATATGGAAGAGGTAATGATACCTATGTGGAGGGTATCGATACCAGGGAACATCGAAACTAATTTGGTATCGGTACGGGGTAAGGTATCGGTACCCTAGCATAGGGGTATCGGTACTGTGAGGGTAGTATCGATACTACTTAAGTTGGAAAGTTGAATGGAGTTTTATTTAGTTTGTATTGATATGAATCGTAGCAAGTAATTTGAATCTAGACATTCATTAAATTTCGTATTCGTGTAGATATTGATCGAGAGCAAGGTCCGAACAAGTTGACAAGTAATAGTCATCGAGGAAAAGATAAGAGATCGGTATTGACTAGTGAGGTCATGTGAGTCTATTTACATATTAAAGTGTATGAATTCATGAATACAAGCATGTGTTTGTTATGATTCATATATGTGCATAAGTATGACATAGGTTACGTGATTTATGTAAATATAAGAGAGTGAAACATAAATTATAAGATATGATATAATTATTTATTATATACATATATGATATATGTTATTAAACCAGATAATTGTGATTAGAAAAGAAGAATATAAACTATGTGAATACAAGTATATATAATATAATATATAACTATGAGATAGAAGAATGTTATATGATATATATATATGATTGCATAAGTAGAATAATGATTAAGATTGATATTGTGTGAATATGACTTGTATGCATTATATGTCATATGAACATAAGAGGACAAAATCTATATTATATGATATGAGATAAGTGAATGTATGTATATATGATAGATGTTATGAAATAAGATATATATGGTTACATGAGATATAAGAGAAGAGGTATATGTGATTATGTGAAAAAGAATACAAGCATATGTTAAGTCATGATATATGTGACATGTGAATTATATGGAAATGATCTATGTGTAAGTGAACTACGTGACTATGAGCTCTTAGGAATATGTGATATGAATGTGTATATGTGAAATGACATAAGTGACAATGCTCATGTTATGTGTAATGAGAGCTAGAGGTATAGTTGGCATGCCAAGAGTCGAGGGTTCTATGTGGTCCTTCGGGACATAATGGTCATTCGGGACATTTCTACGCGGTCTTTCGGGATAAATTCATATGCCCCTAGTGGGACCATATACACAAGTTGTGGTTACATCATATGTGCACAACCTCTATGTACTCACATATCTATAGTTCTCACATGTGTACATGGGCTAATAAAGATATAATAACAAATATATGCTTGTGATATGAAAAATGTTATAGAAATGATATGATGTTGTGTGTATAGTGCTTGATTAAGAAGGTTAAGTATAAAAGTATGTGAATAAAAGATAACACTATTAATAATGATTTATGTGTATGTATGTATTTCTTGCTATGTTATATGATATGATTTTATATGATATGATGAAATGAAGTGATTTTGTATAACATGATAGAATAAAACATGCATGCATTGTTAAATGTTATAAAGTGCATTATAAGTTTTATATGCCTCACTAAATCATCGAATTAGCGTGTGAATGCTTCAAACGTAGGTTGGAAAGCGAGAAGATAAGCTAAGAGGAGCAAGACAGGTCAGAATCTTCCTTACGAAGTTCATATCAGAAAAGTAATGATTAATGTATTTTATTCTTTTGAATATAGTTGGCATGTACTATTAGACTTGAGTTGAATATGCTCTGATATGTTTTATAAATCTAATTGATCTTAATTAAAGTATTCATTTTCTTAAATGAAGAATTTAAGATTTTGCTTAATTGTAAAGAAAAGCGTTTGGAAAAGTCCATGTGACACCTTGGACTCGGATTCGGGGCGGATACGGGTTGGGAGTGTTATAAGATCATTCTAGGATTTTAGCATTTGTTCACACACTTCCTCTTGAGCTTTCCTAAAGTTCCCATCTATTTTGAGCTGGGCTCTCACAATCTGTGTGATTCTCTCGTCCATTTCCTTTTTCTGGTATTATACGAGTGCTTAGAATCAAGTATTATGTAGTGTACCCTTTATTGTTAATTTCAATGTTTTGACGATGAATATAAATTGTATGGAAGTAAAATGCTAAACAAATAACTGTAAAAGTGCAAATAAAATGCATAACACAAAACGTGAACATTAAATAAAGTGCAAATGCACATAGAAAGGTATTGATTCATAAAATGTGATCAGTCTTAGAACAACTTTCATTTAAGGAAAAAAACATCATCATTACAAGATGAATCCATTATAGAAAATGATTATCCCTAGTATTCAACTCCATTATCTCGTTGACAAGCCAAGTGACCCTTTTTCCCAAAACTGATGCTGGATTTGTATAGCTCTAGATGACTCTTGCTTGTATATCCATATCTCCTAACTGCCTTACAATACCACTTAACTGATTTATGGTTTCGATTATTACATGATTCACATTTGTTTTCCAGTCCTCAAAGTGATCATTCGCGTTCTATCAATGCTATATGGTGCTTCGGATAGTGTGCTCAAGACTAGTGATATGTACTTGACAACTTCACAGAGCATCCTCTAAGTCACGAACCTTTCTTCACAAAGTGGTATTCTCTTCGATGCTAACCCTTAGATCTGTTGGCCCGCGCTGACCATTCTCCGTAAATAAAGAATTTTTGAGTTGCGAAATGTAAGCATTATACTCTTCATTCTTAGCCTGAGCTTGAGCTAACTCTTCCTCATGCCTTGCTTCCATCTCTTGTTTCTCTTTATTGAAAACCTCTATTCACTCATTTTTTTCTACATTATTGTATCCAAAGGAAAACTTCATCCTGCTTACCTTGGAGCACATGATCTTGATGATGTCTTTCTAATTTCAACTCTTCACTACTTCACCTCTTTTCATCTTTGAGCTCCTCTATTCTTCGTCCTCTAATCTCGAGTTCACTTAGCATGCTATTCACCTCCATTTTAAACCCTTTAAACATATTACTTTTCTCAATTTCTAATTGTTCGACTCTTCTCTTCTCCTCTTCTAGCGCGCTTAATATGCTCTTATTTTCAACTTTGAGCTCCGCAATCTTAGCTTGCATCCCCTGCACTCCAAAAGTGAGCTCCTCTTCTCGCTTCTTGCTCAGGGTGTTACTTTGTATCAATTCATTTGCTTATTTTCTTTCACCACTAAGTGCACGAGCCCAGGACTTCATCTCTATTTTGAGCTCTTGATCTCTTTTCTTCTTCTCTGCCTCTAGTTCTCTAACCCAACATTCTCTTTCAGCTCTGACGTTCTTAACTTGATGATCTTTTTTAGTTTTGAGTTCCAACTTCCACTTCTCTGAATTTTTTCCTAGTCCAACAATTTCCTAGCCCACGACTACCTTGTTTATTTTTTAAAAAATAAAATAAAAATTTTTCTTTAGAAGTATGCACAATATAAATACATGAATAGATTATAAAAGAATCAAAAGAATTATTATTCTATTTTTATTTTATCTGATAATTTTAATAGTATTTTAATTTTGTGATGGAACATGTGGACCTGTCACAAATTTTAAAGTTTTTTAATTACCCGCTCATTTCCTCCAATTTCCCTCCATTGAAACATAAAATTTATGATGGATTCACATGTTCGTCACAAAATTTAGATGTTTTTTTACTTACCCTCTCATTTCCTCCAATTTCCCTTCATGGAAACATAAAATTTAAAATATACATGTATTATACCCTAATTTTTTTTATTTAAATCTTTCTAAACTCATTTTTCTCTCATTTCTTTCTTCTCATTTCTTCTCTTCTTATTATCTCATTTTTTTCAACAAAAATTCATCTCTTAATTTCGTCTTCTTTTTTATCATCTTCTTTTTTATTATCATTTAGTTAATCACTAACATCTTCATTATATTTTGTAGTCTGTTTGAAAATTTTTAAATGATAATAATTCTTTAATATGCAAATGAGATATTTTATTCTTTTTATTATTGAATATTGTATTATTTTTTATGTATAGTGTACAACCAAATATTCATATTGTAGTAAATTCATATTTAGTCTTGGCTAATATGGTGAATTTAATTTTTTACAATATATTATTGTTTTCTTATTAAATTATCAATACACAATTTGCACTTGTTAGAAGTATTATTATTATTATTATTATTATTATCCATTTTTTTAAATTAATGTAATTATTTGAATTATATTAATTATTAATTTTTGTTACATTAATTAATTAAATAAAAATAGATTTATAATATTTTGGAGGGAATGAAAATTTTCCGGGTATATTCTCGAGAATTTTTAGTTCATTTTAAAAAAAAGATTTAATTTTTCCGACTGAAGAGATATAATCCATAGGGAGTGAAAAAATTCAGTTTTTTATTTTTTTAATATACCGACAGAAAATATTCATTATGTCAAAAACGTAAAATATAATATTTTATGTATATAATTTTTCGATGGATTTTAAATGTTTCGTTAGTAAATTTACTGATGGATTTTTGTCAGTGTATTTCTGACGGATTACTTTATTTCGTCAGAAATTTTAGTTTCGATAACGTTTTACTAACCACTCTATTCCCTCATAAATTTTGTTAATAATATCAAATTTCGTCATAAATTCCCTCAGAAATTCTATCAACAATTACACATTTTTTACAGTGTTTTCGTTAAAAATTAGCGGTTGTCTAAGCTAGACGTTAACATAATGGTTGAGATATGATGGTCATTTGAGATTCTGGAATCATATTTTATCATATCTCAGTCAACAGTTTGATGTTCAGCTCAGAATCCTGTCAACTTTTTTAACGGAAAGGATAAGTTTGGAACATAATGAATAGTCGGGTGATCATTCTATAACTTTTAATATTCGAGGGACTCAATAAAGTAACACTCTATAATCAAAAGACTATTTTGTAACTTTTAATAGTCGAGAGACTTAATAAACCAATATCCTATAATCGAGGAACCATTTGTATACTTTATCGTAATTTTTTTTATTCTAATAGCTAGCATCTAAAAAAACCGTTAAAAATCAATCAAGCTTTTAATATTACGTGATATATGTTGGTTCAATTGCAACAACAACAAAAAAATGCTAGACTTTTATTATTTAAAGTTTGATATTTTATGTGGAGTGAACATTCGTATGGCACCTATCACGGACTCAGGGACAACATCTGGCCGTTTTTAGGTTGTGGCTCCGTACCTTACCCCGTGTGCGGTTGTTTGGATGGAGAGTTGCCCTTTCCGTGGGGCGTCGCCTCCTTCTCGCTAGGATATTTGATGGCCACGGTCTCCTTTTCTTGTGATTAATTATCCTAATTATCTTGCTCTTAAAGTTGTATCAGAAGCTTAATAGCATTACCACTTCTTTCACAAATAAAAGTTAATATTTTGTTATGATATTTATTCATACTTAGTTTTACATATCGTGGTTTTATTTTTAAGTGTTTTTATTTTTTTTTATAAATAATATTTTATTAAGTATGCAATAAATATAATAGAATTTGATTTCTATTTATCAAAAAGTAACATATTAATTGGAATTAATTTATTAAATTGAAATCTGCAGTACAAACTGCGATTGCAAAAAAAGTACAGAAACATAGATGTGTCAATGTCATTGTCCTGTGATTTTAGGGGTCTTTTCCCCTTAAACCATCAGAAAATGCAGCTGTGCACTGTAAAAACAGTATATACGATGAACAGATTTGTCTGAGAATCTAACAAGAATGTAGGCGAGCCTCTACCAAACATTCCGATGTCCAAAAATGGTGTTTTTAACCATGGTTTCATAATCGGACCGGTTAGCGAATCGTTCATGCTACCGATTTACTGGTTCAATCAGTTTGATCGATCGGAAGAACAGGACGACTTCATAATTATTTAAAAAATTAAATAAAAATACTAAAAATATTAATAAAAAATAATTTTTTATCACAAGTCATATTCAAAGCAAGTCATAACATATAAATTAAAACCATAAAATCAAGTGAAACAAAATAATCAAATTACTACAACTAATATTTAAAAAACATATTAAATAATAAATATAATTATATAACTATAATTAAAAAATAAATTTGGGCTAAAAAATCATAACAAATGATATGTTTGATTTAATTTTTTTTAAACAATCTTACATGGCTAAGAAACATAGAAGAACATCCCAAAAGTCTAAAGAGTAAAAATAGAAACAAACAATCTCACATTGCTAAGAAACATAGAAGAGCATCACAACTAACTTCTATAAATAATAGAGGTAATTTGGTATTCAAAATCATGGAGCCTTTTGGTGAGCATTGAGTGAACTATCCTTTCACTTCAATCAAGCTCGAATTTTAGGCTTCAATTGAGCTTCTAAATTTTTTTTTAGTTCAGGCCTTTTTGAGTTCAAGTTTCAATATTATATTTCGAGTTCGAGTTGAACTTGATCATTTTTAACTTGTGGGTTTGAGTGGAGTTGAGCTTACTTTTAAAGTTTTCAAGTTCGAGTCGAACTCAACAATACTCGAGTTCGACTTGGCTCGTTTAACAAACGACGTTTGGTTTAATTTTTTTTAAAAAAAAATTCGGTTTTTTCCGGTTTTCAACCGGTCCGGTTCGAACGGTTCAGCGGTTCAAACGGTTTAGATTGAACCGGACTAGGCAACGGTTCCCGGTTGAACCGGTCCGGTCCGGTTTTCAAAACAATGTTTTTAACTCGCCAAATATAAACATGTCGTTGGAGGAATTTGCAAAACCGATAGTTATAAATGAATGGTGGAAAAACAAATCAAATCCTTAACAGATGCTAACCCTTAGTTTTTCCATTAAAGCACTCTAAAATCCTAACCAGATCAACCTGGTTGGGCTGGTGTTGTTTCATTAACCAATCGAAAGTTGTTCGGAAGCAAAAAAGAAAAGAATAACACAAACAAGCCCCGAAAATCTCAATATATAGCTATTTTATATCCATCCAGAAACCCACCCTCGTCCCTCATTTCTCGTCGGCTTTTTTTCCCAGTTCATCGTGGCCGCCAAGGGACAATAAGCTTCTGTTTTCGTTCCATTTATTAGGGACAAGATAGGAGACAAAGAAGCTTATTGTTTTGTTTCCTTTTTTTCCCTTCTGTTGATTATAGATTAAAAAAATGGTGGACGTATCATCTTTATCATCATCAACGTCGTTATACGAATCCGATACCGAAGAACTTCAGCATATGCCCTTGAAGCCAGTGATGAAAAACAACAGATGTTTGTCGAAGCAGTTATCGATGTGCGAAACATCCCGAGACATCCATTGGGAGCGTAGGAACCGGATCCTTCATCATGAAAGAGGCAAGAACATCGAGGAACCGCAACGGATGACAGCGGTGCCGTCGTTGATGAAAAACAGGAGATATCTATCCAAGCAATTGTCGATGCTGGAAACTTCTAGGGACATTGCGTGGGAGAGAAGGCGACGACAAATTCTTTGTCAGGAGAAAAAGAAAACCGGGATGGCAGAACGGAATGGGATAACCGACGAAGACTTGAATGAACTGAAAGGTTGCATTGAGCTCGGATTCGGATTCAATGAGGAAGAAGGGCAAAAGCTGTGCAATACATTGCCTGCTTTAGACCTATATTTTGCTGTAAATCGTCAGCTTTCTCCTAGCCCGGTTTCGACACCTCATAGCCGACGATCGTCATCGATATCATCGTTGAAATCGTCTTTTGGAAGTCCCAAGAGTGATCAAGATTGGAAAATTTGCAGCCCCGGTAAATGTTTCAAAGTCTAAACTACATAAAACCAAATGAAATAGAAAGCAAAATACGGTCATAGGTGAACCCAGCTTTAACTTCGGTTCATGCAATCACCTTCAAAGTGATTTATATTTTATTAAGAAAGTTGTGGATTTATTTTTTATTAGCCTAGTGGTTATATTTAAAATTATTTTTAGTTGTCGACAATGTACACCCTGCATACAAAACTACTCAAACATGGGATTCTTACGAAAAAAACAACATTCTCTTACCATTTAAGCCTCTCAATAGGTTTTGAAAGTTTGGAATTTTAAATTTACAAACAATGGCCACCTTTAATTGATAAAGGAAAATGTTAAGTAAGAAATAAGGTAAAGTTGATTGGGTTGCTTGCAATATTTTATTAAATGCTACAATTTCCAAATTACAGGGGAAGATCCACAGCAAGTGAAGACGAAGCTAAGGCATTGGGCGCAAGCAGTGGCATGCTCCGTGATGCAGTCGTCTTGAAGTAGTGGGGTTGGCTTTGTACAGGTCTAGAGTCAGAAAAAAAAAGCCAGGAAACAGAGAGAAATTGACTTCACTATTTTAGGATATCCTTTTAAAAATGAATAAAAAAATGTGTAATCAAGGGAAACGGTGCTGCATTTCTGGACGTGAAGAAATGTTTGGTTATAAAGAGGTTACTGCTGAATAGGGTTGCACATAATTCGGATTTCAATCCGATCCGGATCGGTTTTTATCCGATCCGGTTTTTTCCCATAGAAAAAAAACCGGTTTATAAAATAACCGGTTCGGTTTCTAACCGGTTTGGAGGGCCGGATATCCTAACCGGTGTAACCAGTTTCGGTTTTAAAAAAACCAGTTTTTTTAAAAAACCGGTTATAAAAAAACCGATTTTAATATTCCAGATTGCTCATAGGGAACCGATTCCCCCCAAGGGGGTACCGATTCCTCACTGAATGGTTTGGCTCCGAGATTTCCAGAATGCTCGGAGGGAACCGATTCCCCCATAGGGGTACCGATTCCCCCCTATTCAACGGTCGAAATATTTGAATTTTACACTTAGGGAACCGATTCCCTATGAGAGGGTACCGATTCCCCCACGCTCTAAGCATTTTTATTAAATGTTCACACTTAAACGGCTATATTATCTTCATTAATTATCACTAACGTTCAGAAGTGATTCAAGGTGTATTTAAGCAAGCTTAGAAGTCATTGATCAAAGACAAGAATCAAGCAACTAGAATCAAGAGAGAATCAAAGAGAAAGCATCAAACCTCAAGTTCAATAAATTCAAATACTTAATTGAAATACTTAATTAACTCAACATAATTGAAATACTTAAATACTTCCAAGTTTGATAAATTCAAATACTTAAAAACTTCCAAGTTCGATAAATCAAATACTAAAAACTTCAAGTTCGATAATTGAAACAAAGTTTACGATAATTGAAATAAAGTTATAAAATAAACTACATTGCCATCTCTTCTTCATCATCTTCGCCTTCTTCGTTTGGAGGGGATATTCCAAGTTCGACTTCTTCAATGTGTAAGTTTGCTTCCAAATCGGCATCAATTGCATCTTCTAGGGTGGTGATATGTTGCTTACGAGCCGCTCCATCCAAATAATCCTTTAAACAAATGCATACTTCCACCGACTCGGGACTTAGTCTTGATCTCCGTTGCGATATAACCCTGCCACTAACAGAAAAAGCGGATTCCGAAGCTACCGTAGAAGCTTGGACGGTTAGTAAATCACGGGCCATGGCGGCTAGAATCGGAAATTGTGATTCCTTTTCTTTCCACCAAGCCAAAATATCCAAACTTTCAAACTCTTCAAATGTCATTTTTGATAGAAATCGCATGACATATAATTTCCCAACTCGCTACTTGGGTGGTAGTACGTGATCGTTTGGATTGGGAATTTACAAGAGTGTTAAAAAGATTCAAATTTATGTTACTTGGGCGTCTACTAGATGATTCTGCATTCATTCTCATTTGATCGTGTATTACACTACTTGATCCGTATTTATTTAAATAAATTGCAAACATCTCGAAAACATTTGTTAAAATAATTTATTTGGTTTTGGACAAAGTTGGGTTCATCATCGGTTAGATTAAAAGCAAACGCAATTTGTTCAATTAGTGTTTCAACCCCACCAACATTTAACGTTGGGTTTAAAGCGGCGGCACAAGTAAAAATAGGGGGAATCTCCTTAAAATATTTTAAAAGTTTTTCCTTCATTGCAAAGCCAATTTCTTGAAAAACTTCGGTTTCAAATTCAAAGTCATTAGTCGGGTAGCCAACAAAAATATTTGATTAAGAACCAACGGGCTAGTAGAATAATAAACACCGGATAAAAAAGTTGTTGCATTTTTAAAAACCTCAAGCAAATCGGTTATTTTGGCTATAGTTTCCCAACTCGAATCCGGATAAATGTCTGGGACATGACCCCTAAATGTCTGGGACATGACCCCTCTCGAAAAGCGATCGTGAAATGTTTGCAATGTTTCCCTTTGCCTTAAGGCAGTATGCATCATCATCCAAGTTGAGTTCCAACGAGTTGGACAATCCAAATTAGGACCCAAAGCTTTTTTATTAACAGACTTACAAAATCGTTATAATCATTTAGTCTTTTGTTGTTGTACAAAGAAATCGATTTTATCATTGTTTTAAATTCTAATCTAATTGGCTCAATAACCTCCAAACGGCTTGCACGGATAAATTAATTATGTGTGCAACGCAGGGTATGAAAAAACGCACCGTCTAAAATCGGTGAATATATATTTTCAATCTTGGAATCGCGTTGTATTATTCGATGCATATCAAAGATATAGAAAAAACTTTATTTTCTAATTTATAAAGACAAATTACCCGTTTTAAAAGTGTAAATAAATTAGCACCGGTATGCGGCTCACGAATAATTCAAACGCGATTGTTCTTTCATCATTTGCCAATTATCTTGATCTAACCAATGTGACGTAACGGCTAAAAAAGAATTTCCGGTATTATGAGGGGAACTCCAAACGTCACATGTAAGCGACACACCATAACGGTGTTCTTGGAATCCTAAAATCATTTTTTCCTCGCCGTACGCCACATTTTTATAGCATCTCTTCTAAGGGTAGTAACGACTTACTTGAGATAACGTGGTTGCATTAGTTGTTGAATTGTTGTAGTGAAATCTTCATCATCAAAGTGGTCGAACGGCAATGCTTTTGTAATCACGAACTTTGTAAACGCTTCTCGTAATTTTTCGTTGTCGTAAACAAAAACACCACCTTGCGGTGTAAGATTCGATGACTAGGATCCGATCTTGAGCGAAGTGCCTTGCATGATTTTGTCAAATGGTTCTTCAACGTTGTGTTTCCTTCCGATGCAAGAAACTTTAGACAAAGTTTACAACGCGCCCTCCTCGAGCCATTTGACATCTCACATAATCGTAGTGATCCCAAATATCTTTGTTTCGAGTGTGTCGATCACTCTCACGACTTCAAGGTTTCCCCCGACGGAAGATTCAGCAGTGTTACTCATGATGAATAAAAAATTACAAAACTAAGATTTGAGAGATGTTTAAGTGTTGTGTAATAAGATTTGAGAAAGTTGTAATCAACCAAATACATCCCCAACCTATTTATACATGTTTAGGGTGGTAAAATGGTAATTTTTTAAAAAAAAAAAGTCAAAACGTCACAAACGGCTATATTAACGGCTAATTTTTTAAACCAGACGGTTTTTTTTTCGGATAAAAACCGGTTTTTTAACGGTTTTTTCAAACCGGTTTTTTATCCGGTAAAAAAACCGGTCTAGGTTTTTTTCTCCAAACCGGTTAAAATAACCGGTTTAAAAAAATCCGATCCGGTTTCGGATATTTTTTTCGGATATTCGGATATTCGGATTTTTTGTGCACCCCTACTGCTGAATAACCCTGAGATTTACGACCACTTTTTTTTTCGTATTTTCTCTGATGTAAACAACTCCACTGAGGCGTTTTCGGCCTGGGAAATATGGGCTGCGGTGGGAATGTATTGTTTAATTGCTAACATTTGATGATTTTAGTTGATGTTGTTCAACATAACGATTTAGATGAAGTGATATAAAGATGATTTAGATCTGTTCTTTATTATTATTTTTAATAAATGATTGATTATTTCTTGCAACATTTCTATTTGAAACCTGGAGATTTTTTCATGTATATGCCCTTTCAAAGTGGTCTACTAATCAGATAATAAGCAATTTAACAATAGCTCCATCCATCAATTTAGTGTTAAATGTAGTCCTATCAAGAACCATAGTCATAGTTGAACCGGAGAAACCCAAAAATTTCAAAAATTTCAAGTATAAGATAGTGAAGCAACAATTTCAAAAGTTCATTTCATTCATAAATTTGTCTATAGGTTTATGCCAAAGAGGAAATCCCGGAGGAGAATGGGGTGACAAACCTTAAAATCGAAATTAATGATGGCTAACACTTTAATATCAATCATAAAGCAAGTAGTAATCAAACTTGGAGGAAAAGAAAAACCAACCGAGCGTATTAATCCTCTTCTAGGTTGATGGAGTCCTTGAACTTCCCATACAAAACCTTCTTCAACTCGGCCATTTGTGCCACTACCGATTCTTTCTCCTCCTCGAGTTTTTCCAAGTTATTGCTGCTCACTTCCTTCATCTCTTCTATCCTGGTCTCCACTTCCTCCTTGGGAACATGAGCAAAGACTTCTCCAATTTGGAACCGTACTACTTCCTCGTCAGTTAGAATCAACTCGTTACTAGCATCCTCCAGGTTATCAATTGCTTCCTGGGAAAAACAAAGGAAAAGAGAGCTATTGTCAGAAAATGTAACCACATAAGATTGTACCCACATTTCAATGGAGTTAAAACAGCTTCCAAAACACGAAAACAAAGACAACAACTGCAGTTTGGTCATATGCAACAAAATTCGACTATATTATCAGGTATTAGGTTCTAGTGCAGGCCATACCCTACTAGTTTTAGGAAAAGGAGAATTGAAGACCAAGTTTAAGACTAATCAATGAGAAGAGGCAGTTGCAGTTTTTCTTTTAACATATCAAATCTCTCACAATGTAACCACAGTTTCTATCCAATTAACTCAGTTTAATTTTTCATCCTTCAAAAAAAAGAACACGAATTTCAATTTCACAAATGCCAAAAGAAATATCAATTTCACAACAAAATAAACATCCATGAATTCAAGAAATAATCATGAATGTTACATTTATGAATTTATCACACAACTTACTATTATTGAAATCCAAATTCAACTTTTGAGAGCGAAGCTCCCGGAAGGGATTTAACCGATTGGGCCGAAATAATATCCACTAGTAACAAGGTAATTTGCAAGGGGGAAAAGATATTGAAGAAGAAAAGAAGAGACTAAGAGTTGAGAGGAGACATCATATCAGTATTGACATTAATGCCAGTTCCTAATTTGGGCAGGTAACATTATTCAATTTACCAGAAATCAGTTTATTTTCTTCCCACAATCTATATTCAACCACGGAAGCAAATTTTATCTGTTGGAATGGTCAAAA